CTACTTTTTACTTTTGCTTTACTGAATATATATTACTTCAAAAAAAATTTTTTGTGTGTACATTTACTCAGAATGTCTCCTTTAAGACCAATTAATTAACCTAATTAGCAATTAACAGTATTGCAAGATTACTCCATTAGTAAAATTATCAAAAGCTACAGCCCAGTGTTACGATGTATTACGATGCTAATAAAGAGACTCGGGCACAGAAAGACTTGATACAATTAGGGAAACATTCCTGAAGAATCTCTTCACGGGCTGTTGCTTCTGTTTTTGCACAGCTTTCTTCATCTGACGACACCTTTAATTACATCTAACTGAAAATGTGGAGTTTTTTTTTTGCTCTGAAATTATTAGAGCAATGCTCAAGCACAGCGAGAAGTAGAAATTAAAGAGACTAGGAATAGATCCTGGGAGGGTCTCTGACAGAGCAGGCAAAAACTAATGATCTGGATCTATTTTTAGTCTGTCAGATTTAGCAGCAGAAATGCTGCTCTCTTCCTTTGTTAGAGCATTGTAACTAGTTCATATCATTCTGGAATTATATTAACTTATATGGAGAATCAGCCATTACATTGAAGAATGGGGATATGTAAATAATATTTCCATATGGGGTGTATGTGTGGTGGTAGCTTTTTTGTGTCCTAGCAGGGGAGTTTTAAGCAAAATGACCTTTTATGCTCTTATTAAATAGATTAAATTACAGGAACATATTTTCTTGCTATTGTGTAACATTGGTGATTGGTTAGAGTCAAAAAAAGGCGAGTCAATTGACTGAATAGTCATATTCATAAAATTTGTCAACACTGAGTCAAGTGCCAGTCCAAGTCAAAACAAACACCTTTATGAGGTTGTAGTTCTGATTGACGAATATGGTTGTATGTCATCCCTTTTATGTGTAAAGCATGTTATGGCAGGCGAAGTAAGACACATTCCAGAGCTGTGATGAAACTCACCGTACTTTTGCAGCAGATTAATAGATTGAAAACATGTGCTTTTGCAGTCGCATGTCCTTACAGTTTATGCAGAAAATCTAATTTACCCCCCCCCCCAAACCACTTTGCTGAAATCTTGTTAAACACTGGATCCACGCAAACTGCCCTTGAGTTAAAGGAGCTTGTGTCTGTCTGTTGCACAAAAACTGAACACAAACCCAGAGCCTAAATCATAAACTACATAATCTTCCAGGAGTTTAGAGAAGAAGGGAGCTTCCAGGAGCTTCTACAGAAGAGATTTAAACAAACTAAAATGCTTTTATCTAAGGGTTATACCATGACATCTTCAGTAAAACACTATATTTAAATACGCTAGATTAAGATTTTTATTGGATTTCAATGTCAGTCATCATTTCAGCGTATTAATACTCAGCACCAAAATTGAGGGGGGATAAGGGGAGATGGCATCCCGCTTCTTAAATGACCATCCCCTCATACCATCCCCTGGGACATTTTATTACTTAATGTGTAAAATTTCTACTATATATTAAAAGTAATGGCAATAATATTACCCTTATAACATTTGGCGGGCTGTGGGCTTACAAGTAGCCTATGAGCAATGACTATGAAGCACATCCCAGTGGAAAATTTGTCCTCTGCATTGGTCCCTAACTATGTAGGGGCATTGATAGCCATGCCAGTCCAGGCACTGACTGCAGTTCTACTGTGAGGTGCCTTGGTCGAGGTCAATGACTGACATACCTGACATGTACCAACCATACCGTGCATACTGCTTTAGGTTAATATAATAATAAGGGTGAAAATGCTAAAAACAAAACAAAAAAAACCCACCATCCTTCTTTCTTTTTTTACAGCTAGACTACTGTTAATAATTAAGTATAAGTAAGTATATGAAAATATTTAATTTGTGTGTGAACAGGCACTGAAGGACCAGTCACACACAAAACCTACGCTTCATTTCAAAATACACTTTGTAGAAATAAGAACCATAAAAACATTCTTCACTCCTTGATCTTAAAGGTATAGTGGAGGATGTACTTTTTTTTTTATTCTGGTGATGTTTACGTAAGGCCCTCCTACATGCTTGTGCCCATTTTTACTTACCGGTGGTGAGTCTGAAATAGTGGAAAAACTAATGCAAACAGCAAATTTTAAAAAGAATGCGCGTGAGGAGAAATGGGGTCGTGCATGCTCTTGCACGCGTTTAAAAGGCGTTCCCTCTCGGGACCAGGTACAGGGTCTTTTAAAAAGTGGAGAAGGCGGGTCTTTTAAAAGTTTTGCAAAACTCCTCTATTATACCTTTAACTCTCTGCAGGATAATGTAACTAGTATAATATTAGCACTGTTTTCGTAAGAATAGAGACTGTTTTATCTCATTTCATGTAAAGTCACTCTAAAATTACTTATCTATTTTTCATCAAAGTAACTTTGAAAATCTGATGTTTGAAAAGCTATCCTGGAATGCCTACTGTACTTTGCCTTGCCTTTCCTAGCCTCGCCCCACCTTGCTATACCTAACCTAACCTAACCTAACCTAACCTAACCTAACCTAACCTAACCTAACCTAACCTAACCTAACCTAACCTAACCTAACCTAACCTAACCTAACCTAACCTGACCTAACCTAACCTAACCTAACCTAACCTAACCTAACCTAACCTAACCTAACCTAACCTAACCTAAAACAGAAATGCCTCAAAGACGGACCAGTCTAAATCCAAAAGAAACAGATTAGGTCATAACATCCAATTTAGATGTGTGGAAAAGCAGTTATGTTTCAGTGACTTCTGCACCACAATAATACAGAGGACCATTATAGATCACAAATGAAGTATGGGTGTGATAAAAAATTAAGACAAGGCACCACTTACACCTAAAAGTGTCCCGCCTCTTTCTATCTGCGAGTGAACAAAGGACTTTATTCACTTTGGCAGTCACACACACTAAGGGATTGCTTGAGGACAGATAGAAGAGCTTCTTAATAACGCACGGCTTGCTTCCAGACACACCACCAGCAGCTGTAGGTAGGTAAGCTGTTTGATTTGGGGGAGAGGATTTTAGAAGTTACATGCTGGCCTTAAAAAAGTTTGATATATTTACTACTTTTCTGTTCTCTTGACATTATGATGTTTGCAGCCGCAGATATTTAAAAATAAGTTCCAAACAACTAAAAGAGGTACTATGTTTTTAAAATGATTCAATAATCGCTCTCTCTTACTAGACAGAAGCCACAAAGAAGATGACCAGGCTGTAGTCTTTTTGACTGGTTCTTTTCGAAACAACAAAGCACCCTGAAAAGCAGGAAGACTTTAACCTATTGGTGTTCTGCCTTCTGCCGTCTTCTAAAACACTTAAACTGAACGACCTGTCCACATGACATACATTACTGTAAGGCTGAGGGTGGGGTGTGATGCTTTGTATAGAAAATAAAACGTGCAAATGCTCGCCTGCAAGCATTTCAGCTTAATAATATTAATATATATTTATATTTGGCTTATTTAAATGTTGTTTAATAATGATAAAAAATAAAATAATAATCATAACTTAGCTTATGAGCTTCCCTCGATTTTTCCTAATGCTCCGAAATTAGGTTATTCTAAATAAAACCTAACCCTTCTTGTTACCACACATATTTAACTAGTTTTCACGACAAAATAAATCATCAAACATAAAACACAAAATAAACATAAACATGGTTAAATTGGGATATTTTCTCTATCTTGGATAATGGCCTAGTGTAAGATTGTTAATTGTCTTACATTTACAAAGATCAATAGGAATAGTATAATAGTTGGATCATTCAAAAATAATAATAACCATTATATTTGTCAGAATGTATTTATTTTTTAAAGGTAGATTCTTCTGGACTGATGACCTTGAGGAACAGGTCTATAAGTCTGGCAGTTTTAATGTGAGGATCAATACAGAGGATCACTTAACAGAAGGAGGAGGTAGAGGGTCTCTGAGGAAATCATTGCCAGGAAAAACTCTAAGTAGTCTCATAGTCGGCTCCAGTGTCTGATGAAACCTGTGAGAACCTGAAAGAATATATCTATCTATCTATCTATCTATCTATCTATCTATCTATCTATCTATCTATCTATCTATCTATCTATCTATCTATCTATCTATCTATCTATCTATCTATCTATCTATCTATCTATCTATCTATCTATCTATCTATCTATCTATCTATCTATCTATCTATCTATCTATCTATCTATCTATCTATCTATCTATCTATCTATCTATCTATCTATCTATCTATCTATCTTTCTATCTATCTATCTATCTATCTATCTATCTATCTATCTATCTATCTATCTATCTATCTATCTATCTATCTATCTATCTATCTATCTATCTATCTATCTATCTATCTATCTATCTATCTATCTATCTATCTATCTATCTATCTATCTATCTATCTATCTATCTATCTATCTATCTATCTATCTATCTAGGCACCAGCAGAAATATTATTATTGTTAATCCAGTGTTTATGAATGTATGAATTTATGAAATGTATGATCAGTGAATTGAAACTACAAAGAAAGAAAAAAAAAAAGTAATCAAGAAAATAAAAAACACATCAGAGGATTTTTGAATGCTTAATTGGTGCATTTTTAGGTCCGGTATTAATTAAAGTCCATTTAATAATCCATATACATCTTATCCTAAAGTAAGTAAGTGTTTTGCAAAGGGCACTGCAGTCTTTAGATTTTGCATAGAAAACTTGCATGAACATTGTTCCACCAATGTTAAAAATTGATATCATGGCTTGTGGCATTACAAGGTAAATGTGCAGCTGCTGTGAAAGGGAAGCCAGGCTTGAAAATGCTAAAGAAGATATGTAACTATTACAATCAATTGCAGAGGAAACAAGAAACAAAACATATCCAGACAAGATTAATGTAGGATGAAAAATAGATATATAAAAAAGACCAAAGTTAAAAAAAATATCAGATTGGTTGTTCCATATGCATGCAAATCTAGTCATGGAAACTGACATTTTATTATAAATTTTTTTTTGTGTGTTCTTAGCAGGGAGAAGACTACCAGCGCCAGAGCCTACCACAGAAGACGATTCTGTGAGTAAATATTCTGTTTTTATAAGAAACACCAATGAGTGTCAAATTGTATGTTTTTAACATAGAAATATTTTGTTGGTAATGTTTTGCACTGCATGGAGTTTTGCATGTATTATACAAAATCGGGTTAGACTCATCTCAGCAAAATACCTTTTTTTACCCCCTTTTGCAGTGTTTTTTTCCATTGAGTGTGGTAACATGTAAGAAAGATTTAACAATTGTAAATTTATAGTTGTACAGCTCGTGCAATTTCTAATTTCTAATAATTGAAAGAACATTTTCCATAAGAAAATCAGAGCGTGGGATATTATTTGACAACCTAACCCTGTCTTTAACATGATCTCTGGCCTGTCTGCCGTTCTCTTTAATCTGTATGATGCCGTTTGATTTCTCCCATTATCCAACAAAGCTCTGATGACTTCAGAAAATAGCTTTATTTCTAATAAAATTAAATTGGACTTTGTGTTCTCACTACAGGAACATTTGGAACCATGCAGCATTTTAGTATCCTTACTTGACACCATTTTCTCCTACTTCAAAAAATCCCGGACAACTTTTTTATGGGATTCCAAATTCAAGCCCTTCATCATTATAACGGTTCATAAAATGTATCATTTCTGCAGAAATTAAACTGTAATTATACACTGCAAAAAATCTAAATCCAGATAAGTCATTTTTTCTTAAAATAAGTGCATTTGTTCTTGAATTGAGGAGATAAAAGAGACATTTTGCCAATGGAACAAGACAATTTACACTTAAAATAAGAAAACACAGTTAAATTCTCTTATTTCAAGTGCATATTGTCTAATTATCTTATTTTAAGAGTAAAAATACTCATTCCATTGGCAAACCATCTCATTTACCTACTCAAATTAAGGGTGAATACATTTAATTTAAGAAATTTGTACTTATTTCTAGCTTGTTTTTGCAGTGTAGGTACTGCAAAGGTGTTTGATTATGTGATGGCGTTAACCTTACTAGATGGGCATGGCAAAAGTTGACAAAAATGGAGGTAATAGAGGTTTAAGGAAGAAATACAATGTTAACTAATAATGAAAATAAATAGCAAAATAAAGAAAGCCATGAGGTCTGATGATGAGCGGTCTTGAAAGTCATGTGTACATTCATAAGTAATGTGGTTAAATAAATGTTCTTCTTCTGCTCAAAACAAATACATGTCGAGATAAGAGCTTTTTCTCACAAAGAAAATAATGAGACTTTTATATAAGAAGAAACTGGAGCCAAGTCTCCTGACCAGCCTAAAGTTCTGCATCCTGGCACTGCATGGAAAACAGAGGTCTGTAACTTTCATCATTCAAAGAGCCATTTTAAAGAAATAAAATAAACTAGCTGCAAAATCTAAGGTTATTGGATTGAGTTTGAATGAACAACTTCTGTTTCGATAATGTATGTTTTATAGTTAAATCAAAGTGGAGATGTTGAGACAGAAAGCATGGAACAGATTTCCCCTGTTGTGCTGATGATACTCAGCTAAATTTGCCCATTCATTCTGATAAAACCGACCCATTACATAGACTACAGGCATGTCTTGAAGACGTAAAAAAACAGGATGATTTAAATTTTTTTTTTTTTTATTCAGATAAGATTAATTGAGATGGATTAATTGGCCTCCAATTTTAATTTTGACAACATTTACCTCACTCTGTATAATGGAAATTACGTAATATCTTTATTTTTTAAAAATTCTTTTTTAAAACAAGAATACTTTAAAACCTTAAGCTGCAAGCTAAACACTGTAAACATTAACGTTTAGCTTTCATTGCCTCTTTTTTTCTGGGGTATAATCTTGAGAGAGTGGAGGTGGGCAGAGTGCAGAGCCCGCTCCAGGGGGAGAAATTCTCCTTGGCTCCTTCTAGCTCCTTCTAGTCTCTACACATCTCTTTATTTCTCTCTCTTCTAAGTCTGGTACCCCTGACCTCTAACTATGGTTGACATGATCATCTAAGTGTAGTGACTTTTAGTTGTTTGTTTTTTTTCCTCTCTCTTCACAGTATTTCCATCTTGTATGCTGTATTGTTTGGCTGTGACTCCCTCCTGCATGGTCCCATCCTATTGTGGTTAACTCTGTTTCTCATAAAGACATAGCCACTACCTGAGCTTTTTCTGTGTGTCTGAATTTGATGTTTTTCTGGACTTGAACACAGGTTTACACTGCAAAAAATAGAAATCTCAATAAGTTATTTTTTCTTAAAATAAGTGTGTTTTTCCTTGATTTGAGGAGGTAAGTAAGACACTTTGCCAATGGAACAAGACAATTTCCTTTTAAAATAAGAAAAAACTATTTTATCCTCTTATTTCAAGTAAATATTATCTAACTATCTTATTTTAAGAGTAAAAATACTCATTCCATTGGCAAATCATCTTATTTATCTACTCAAATTAAGGCTAAATATACTTAATTTAAGCCATTTTTTACTTATTTCTGGATTGTTTTTGCAGTGTAGAGCTCTTCTACTTAGCTGTTATTATCTTCCACATGAATCCACTGTACATCTACTTTTTACTTAATACTCCTGGATTAATGCTTCTGTGTTTTTTTTGTGTTTTCTCAAACCCCCAGTCCATTGTTGCATAGGCCTTGTTTCTGCACAAGGTTTTTATTCGGTTAAAAAAAGCGTTCTCAGTGCGATCTATTCCTGCAAAATTAATAACACCAAGCCAGTGATTTTTCCATCTTGGCTGACTCCAGGGAGTTCTCTGTGATGACTTGAAGCAATCTGCTTGGTTACCTTAGATTATTTTACCTTTGTAATCAGTCTGTCTGTATGGTTTAATTGAATTGACTGTTCATTGCCTTTACATAATGTGTGTTGAAATTTTGCACTTTTTAAACAAACTGTCTGGCTTCATCGACTGTTATCTTGAGTTTCTTTGGCACTCTAATAGATGCAGTTTTTTTTAAATAAAAAACTGCATGCAGAGTTTTTTTTTTTAGGGAAAATAGAAGTTGCAACAGTACGTGCATTAGTATTTTTTATCGCATAGACTGATGCACACCCTATACTGAATGCTATAGGGTGCATTACTCTATTTAAGACCAATATTTTCTTGTTGTATTCACTATGTTTTGGGGCTGAATAACAGAGTAGCTGTTCCAGTAAAGGAAACTAACAAAAGTATCCATTTGGAATTATAGTACCGGTAATAACTTTTTTTTTTTTTTTTTTGCTTAATTTGCTTACACAGTTATGTGAAGAACAAACTCAGTTCACAGAAGAGGAGAGACCACGACCACAAGGATCATCACCTGTCCAGGAGTTTCCTGAGGCGGCAAAATACTCTGAAGGTGAAAAAGAGGTAAAGTGCACTAAACTACTAGCAAGTCACACAAACATTGACTTTCAAGAAAGAGAAAGATTTATTGTCTGAGTCTTAATGTCTTATTGGCTGAGTTTTCTGTCGACAGTTAATTTGCTGGCTTTGAGAACAAACTGCAAGTTTTTTATCTTCCGGTTTCGGGAAGCTCTAGCATATTGGCAGTATTATATACATATCTATATGTATGTTTTAGGGAGTAGTGGCCTAGTGGTTATGGCATAGAGCTTGGAGTTCTGAGTTCAAGGCCTGTTTTGCTAATAGTAGTTTTAATGTCACTCAGCACAGCGAGCATAGTGGCTTCCTGATTTACAAATGAAGTATGTGAATTCTGAAAAAAAAGGCCAATGTACTCAGACAATATATTCTTTCATCTTAATTGGTTTCATATTCACTTTAATAGTCAAAAACCAAAACAGCCCATAATTAACCCGGTAATATTTGCACTAAAGCTTGGGAACCAGAGTGAGCAAATTTTAATAATATCAAAGCCGTTTTTAGGTTTGATTAATTGGAACTGCATAACATTTTAAAAGTTTTTAAAATTATGTTTTCTTTAGTTTCAAGCAGAGCATGATCCACAACACAAGACTGGGAGTGGACACAAAGGTAAAAAGTCTGGCCTTGGGTCCATGTTTGAAAGGACTTCGACTCCAAAAATGAGTAAATCAAAGGTACAACATTCACCCCTTCTACCATTAATAGGATCCATTCAGGCTGGTAATAGTACAGCTAGGTGAGAAGATCTTTCCTCATTTGGATTTGTCTCCAGGAGGCCCAAAGTCCTGAATGTGGGATTATTGTGAACGCAGCCAAAGGCGGGTGTGCAGAAGGTCTTGTTTACAGTGGAGGAGGGAAAGAGGGGATCTTCATAAAGACAATCGTTCCAGAATCACCTGCTTCAAAAAGTTTGGAAGTAAAAGAAGGTTATTATTATTATAATATTTTTTCATTTTATGATATCGATTAATTCAAACTCCTTTTTGTTGAATACTTGTGTAACTTTTGCATTTTACTTTAGAGAGCCTCCCAAAGGTATCCACCTTGAGCTTTTCAACATTTTGTTACCTTTGATCTGCTAAAATTGGATTTCATATGCATTGGTCTGAAGCGGACAAATTAAACATGGCATTCAAAAGATTTGACAAATAATGATCTTAAAAGTGTGGCGTGTATTTATTTTACTCTCTAAAATTACAGCTTCAGGTCTTTTGGGATCTATAAATATAATCGTTCCATTATAGCTCAAAGCGTACGATGAGGACAGGGCTGCCACCCTGTTTGAAAGCTAAAAACTTTGAGCTATTGAATCTTAAGCCTCTAAACACCGTTGAATTCCTGTCACTCTTTAAGAAGATGACATTAACAAAATGATGCTGGCATCACCATGGTTACTCTCGGTCGGTGTGTTGTAATATTAGATTTCCACCATAGGAATTGTTTAAAAAAAAAAATCACAGTTTGAGCAAACATGACTTGATATTTGCTGCATCTCCCACACAGCTGCCTTTCAACTGTGTTTTTTCTCTTTGCTCCATAAAGGCTTATCAACAGATCCTCTCACCGGAGCTGTGGTTCTATTCAGCTCCATAAGAGTTTTTGGACTCATTTGACTAACTCTCTTATAAATGCTTTCCCTGTCACTTTAGATAGATGGAAATTTGAAATATATCCCAATAAGACACATTGGAGTTTTTAGCCACAACCTGATGCCATGTAAAAAAGTACCAAGGGATTTATAGCTTTGCCAAGGAAAAACATTTCCAGAAACCAAATAGGCAGTAATGAATTTCTGATTGTTATGTCTATTCAGTAACGATTCTTTCTGCCTAAAACAATTTTTAATAGTATTACCATTAGTTATATTATTCTGTCAATCACTACAGACCAATACCACTCATCACATTTCAACAGGTTGAAAGTTTTACGAGGAGATTAAATTTTTTCTTGTGATCTTTCTTTTATAGGAGATCAGATTCTTAGCGCCACAGTGTATTTTGACAACATGTCATATGAAGATGCCATTCAGATTTTGGAGCATGCACAGGCTTACAAAATGAAGCTTTGCATAAAGCGGCAGCCAGACATCACAGAGAGTGAATCAACCATTGAATCTGATGCTATTCCGGTAAGTCATCTTCTCTCCTTTTTAAATGATTTAGCTATAGGTATTACTTAATATTTCTGTTGTCCATCAGGAAGAGGACGTCTGCTCCACAGAGATGAGGGTGAAAGGAAAATCCAGAAGGCGGGGGGATGCTCGTATTTCATGGCCAAAGTTCTCCTCCTTTGGAAAAGGACGTAAATCACGTTTCACAAGGTCTCACAGCTCATCAGAAGCAGATGAGCAGAGAAAGCTTGAGCTTAGCCCTGCAACAAGTGACACAGAATCACCTATAAAATCTCAGGATGCTCTGAAAGGAAAGAAGAAGCATAAAATAAAGCTCTCAACTTTAACAAAAAGAGGTCGCATAAGTTCCTCCGAAGACCAGGATACAGATGTTCCAATAACCAGGCAGATTAGTGGTGACACTCAGCTGAAGCAGGAATCAGATACGCTTTCACCTGAATGCACTGAATACCCCTTAGGAGAAACACTAGGAGTCAATATAGAAGCAGGTAAGAAGTCAGGGGAAGTTAAAGAGTCTGAACTGCAAGGTCAGAAAACAAGTGACACTCAAAACCTTCAACTAATTAGTATAGAAAACACCTTAAAATCAACAGATTCAGCTGTAGCTCTGACTGATCAAGGAAACCAAATTCTTAAATCCCCAGAGGAGAAAAATAGGAAGAAAGAGAGGTCAGAATTAAAAATGAAATTTTTGGGAAAGGACAAGTCACACAAGAAAGAACCAAAAGCAAAATCTTCCCCCAAAAGGCTTAAAACTCTTGGAGCAAGTGTTGATACAGAAGATCTTCCTGTAACAGGATCTAATGTTATCACAAGCTCTGAGTCAAAAACCAAACTGCTGGGAGATCAGACTCTGCTTGGCGTAAAAGACAAAAGCCAAAGTAGTGAGAGTTTAAAGGTAACCCCATCCAAATCTATGACCTCGCAGATCAGTTTACCAAAGGTGGAGCTTGACATTTCAGTCCGCAAATCTCCAAAGAAAGGGGATGAAAAAACACAGAAAGCAAAGGATCATAAACAGAAACAATCCAAAAAATCTAGTCCAAAGCGTAAGCAACCTGAAGCAGACATGAGTGATGTTCCTATTTCAGAGGAAATGCAAAAAGTTAACGATCAAGAATCGACAAACAAAACTGGCCGTGTTTCCACCACTCAGCTTCCTAAACGTGAAGATATTGAGATTCCAGGTATGGAGGACATATCTATGAAAACTGCAAAAATAAAGGAAACCAAAGCTGATTTTAAAAAAGATAATAAAGAAAACCAAAGTGAAACAGTGCAAATGTCAATTGATGTTAACAGTGTGAAAGAAGCGGTCTCAAAACTACCGGGATTTAAGCTGCCTCAAGTTGATATATGTGGAATGCCTATCCGTGAAGAAATAACTGTCATAGATGCAAATGCACAAAGAATATCTGTAAAAACACCCACAAAAGTAACGAAAAAGTCTGACATAACTGCATCTTCAGAAATCTCCAAAACAATGTTTTTAACTGAGAACAACATAGATTTTAATACATCTCAAAAGGATGACAATACTAGCCCAACAGGGTGCAACGAGGAACAGGAAACTATGATTGCTAAAACGCAACATATTGTAATATCTGGTAAAGAGCTTTACACTCTTCCAGACAAAGACTTTGATAGAGCAAGTGGAAAAGGAGATTTAAAACTCGAATCTGAATCAGCAGCAACAAAGGAATCCGTGAAGACCAGACCAAAGATAACGATGCCAAGCTTTGGGATGTCATCAAAATCCCGAAGATTACCATATATCGGAATTGACTCACAAAAACAAACTTTAATTCAAGAAAAAGACCTAAATACTGAAACAAGAAAAGATGAGAGGAAAACTGGAGAAGTTATATGTAAAGTAGAAATACCTGAACCCGATGGTTTTGAATACATTGACTCAACAGATGAGTCATCAGTCAGGAAAGATGGATTGAAAAGTTTTGATATTAGTGCTGATGTCAAAGGAGAACTACAGGTTCATGAGGTTGAAGGAAGTGGATCTTCTACAAAACAAACTTTTAGTTCTCCTGAAATAAAAATTTCAACAAAAGATGTTAAAGGATCATCAAAATTTAAAATGTCTCCTTCTGAAATGCCAAGATTTGCAGCTGCTACTCCAAATCTCAATACTGATGTTTCTGACACAAAGTCACCTACGAATGGTGTTACTATTACCAGTAACATACCAGAAACTGCTGTAAGTCCATCTGTTGATGTTAAAACTAAGGTGTCTGAAACTGAGGGAAGAGGAAGTAAATTCAAAATTCCAAAATTTGGAATATCACTACCGAAGCTAAAAGGTCATGAAATAGATGAAACCTTATTGAAAAAAGCTGTTAGCGTAGATGTCACCTTGCCTAAAGGTCAAGCTGAGGCAAAACTTCTGGATGCTGAACATGCAGAATCTGGTATTATGGTAGAGGAAAAGGTTCGAAAGATGGGATTTGATAAAGATTTTGAGTACTCAACATCCAAACCTGAAATTGGAACGTCATATTCCGAGGCTAAAGCAGAGCTAAAATTATCGGAGTCCACTGGAGAAAATATTGTTTTAGCTCCGGTGGCCCTCACCAGGTCACCTGAAGCGGAAATTCAGACTCTAAAGAATGACAATGAGTTTGCCCGAAAAGAATGGGATGTGCAACTTCCAAAGATCGGAATAGAAATGCCAAAATTAAATAAACCAGAATTTTCTCTTGGACACTCAGGTAAAAGTGTAGATGTAATAACAGCTGAAGAAAAGGCACAGTTAAAGAATACAGAAACTATGCTGTCAGACACTGAAACTAAGATAAAAACCCCAGCCACAAAAGTTAATGTTAGTCTGGGAAAAGCAGAAATTTTAATTCCAACTGGAAATGTGGAAGTCGGAAAACCTGAAGTGCAAACTCAACCTCTAATTGAAGGACAAGGAAGTAGGTTTAAAATGCCAACGCTTGGAATCACAATGCCAAAAATAAAAGCTTCTGAAACAAAGAAAGATGTAGAAGGGATATTCACTGAAAGCAAGACTGATGTAAAGATACTTGATGCTGGTTTTGAGGAACAAAATGTGGAACAATCATCATCAAAATTCAAAATGCCAACATTCAAATTACCAAAATTAGGACTTGGCACCCCTCGCTCCACTACCGGAGTATATACTTTAGACAAAGAGGCCCAAAGAGATGGAGTTGACCTTGACATTCCTGATGAGGTTCTTGCAGTTACCATTGTTGAACCCAGGGCTACAGATCCTGATAATGAAGAAACAGCAAACAAGTTTAAAATGCAAAGTCTTAGTCTGACTGTGTCTCCAATCAAAGGTCAACAAGCAGAGGATATTGTGACACAACAGAGGATGAAATCCGAGGAAAAAAAGGAAACAGAGGGGTCACCGTCCAGGTTCAAGATGCCGACATTCAAGTTTCCAAAATTTGGGGTTTCTTCTCCAACTTCCATAGAAAAAGTACCTCCTTTGGACAAAGATGTCAAAACAGGAGAGGGTGACACAACAACTACAGGAGAAATCCTTGCAGCTTGCACAGAAGAGCCAAGTATTAATATCAAGGAACAATCAGCACATTTAAAAACTATTGAAACTGTAAATGAGGAAAGAGGAAGAACATTTAATATGCCAAGTCTTGGCTTTTCAGTATCACAAACCAAAGGACCAGATACTGAAGTTAGTTTATCCTCAACAGATGTAGATGTTACAGTACCGGAAATCAAAATGGAGGCCAAACTCCCTGAAGAAAGGTTTAACAAATCAATTGAAGTTGAAGCTAAGGCTCCAGAAATCAAAGGCTCAAAAAGAGAAAAAGAAGGATCACCATCCAGGTTTAAGATGCCAACATTCAAGTGGCCTCAGTTTGGGGCTTCTTCTCAGAGTTCCATGAAAGAGGTACCTCCTTTGGACAAAGATTTCAACAAAGGAGAAGGTGACTCTAAGATTTCTGGAGAGATTCTTGCGGTTAGCATAGAAGAACCAGGTACTGATGCTAAGGGACCATCAGCAGAATTAAAAACTATAGAAACCGAAAATGAAGGAAAAGGAAGAACATTCAAACTGCCAAGTCTTGGCTTTTCTGTATCACAAACCAAAGGAGCTGATACAGACATTACCTTATCCACATCAGAGGTGGATGTTGCATTGGCAGAAACTGAAGCAAAACTCCCTGAAGGAAAATTAAACCAATCAATTGAATTTGAAGCTAAGGCTCCAGAAATCAAAGGTTCGAGAAGAGACAAAGAAGGATCACCGTCCAGGTTTAAGATGCCGACATTCAAGTTACCAAAATTTGGGGCTTCGTCTCAGAGTTCTAACGAAGAGGTACTTCCTTTGGACAAAGATATCAAAACAGGTGATAATATCACTTCAGGGGAGATTCTTGAAGCTGGTGGAGAAGGACCAGATGTTGATATTAGGGCGCCTTCAGCAGATTTGAAAACTAAAGATGTTGAAAATGAAGGAAAAGGAAAAACATTTAAACTTCCAAGTCTTGGCTTTTCAGTATCACAAACCAAAGGACCAGATACTGAAATTAGCCTATCCACAACAGATGTAGATGTTACACTACCAGACATCAAAATGGACGCCAAACTCCCCGAAGAAAAAATAAACAAATCATTTGAAATGGAAGCTAAAGTTCCAGAAATCAATGTCACAAGAGAAGAAAAAACAGGATCACCATCCAAGTTTAAGATGCCGACATTTAAGTTACCAAAATATGGGGCTTATTATCAGAGTTCTAATAAAGAGATACCTCCTTTAGAGAAAGATGTCAGAAAAGGAGAAGCTGACTCAGAGGTTCTTGCAGGAAGTGGAGAGGGACCAAGTATTGATATTAAGGCTCCATCAGGAGAAGTCAAGATCTCAGGAGCTAAAGGCGAGATAAGTGGAGGAAAATTCAAACTGCCAAGTCTTGGCTTCTCTGTATCAGAAACCAAAGGACCTGATACTGAACTTAGTTTATCCACAAAAGATGTAGATGTTACAGGACCAGAAGTCAAGGTTGAAGCAGAACTCCCCAAAGGAAAAATGATCAAACCAACCGAGTTTGAAGCTAAAGCTGCAGAACTAAAAGATGCAAAAATGGAAACAGAGGGATCACCATCCAGGTTTAAGATGCCAACATTCAGGTTACCAAAATTTGGAACTTCTTATCAGATTTCTACAGAAAAAGGGCCTCCTTTGGACAAAAATGTGAAAACAGAAGAAGGTGACACAGCTATTTCAGGAGAGATATTTGCAGCTAGCACGGAAGAGGCAAGCATTGATATCAAGGAATTGTCAGCAGAATTAAAAACTACAGAGACTGAAAAAGAAGAAAGAGGAAGAAAATTTAAACTACCAAGTCTTGGCTTTTCGGTTTCACAAACTAAAGGGGCTGACACTGAAATTAGCTTATCTTCAACAGATGTGGAAGTTACAGTACCAGAAGTCACGATGGAAGCTAAACTTCCTGCAGAAAAGTTTGACAAAATATCTGAAAGTGAACCTAAAGTGCCCGAATATAAGGGTATAAAAAAGGAGACGGAAGCATCACCATCAAAAGTTAAGATGCCAAATATCAAGTTACCAACATTGGGACTTTCTTTTCAGAGTTCCACAGAGGAAGCACCTCCTTTGGACAAAAAAATCACAAAAGGAGAGGGTGACTCCAAAATGTCAGGAGAGATTTTTGCAGCTAGCGGAGGACCAAGCATAGATATTAAGGCTCCATCAGCAACTTTAAAGCCAACAGGAGTTAAAAGTGAAATAAGTGGAGGAAAATTCAAACTGCCAAGTCTTGGTTTTTCTGTATCCCAAACCAAAGGAGCTGATACTGAGATTAGCTTATCGCCTACAGATGTGGGTGCTACAGAACCGAGAGTTAAGGTGGAGGCTGAACTACCAGAAGAAGTGGAAGTTAAAGGTCTGGAATTAAAAAGTAAAAAAACAGATGGATCACCATCCAGGTTTAAGATGCCAACATTCAAGTTACCAAAATTTGGGACAACCTATCAGAGTTCTACAGAAAAAGGTCCTCTTTTGGACAAAGATGTCAAAATGGAAGGAAGTGACACATTAACTTCAGGAGACATCCTTGCATCCAGCACAAAGAAACCAGAAGAACCTAGTATTAATGTCAAGGAACCATTGGGATATTTTAAAACCATACAAACTGAAAATGAGGGAAGAAAATTTAAACTGCCAAGCCTTGGATTTTCTGTATCACAAACCAAAGAGGCTGATACTGAAATTAGTTTATCTACAACAGATGTAGACGTTACAGTTCCAGAAGTCCAAATGGAGACCCAACTCACTGAGGACGAATTAAACAAAACAATTGAGTTTGAAGCTAAAGCTCCAGAAATCAAAGGTACAAGAGGAGAAAAAGATGGATCACCATCCAGGTTTAAGATGCCGACATTCAAGTGGCCGAAGTTTGGGGCTTCTTCTCAGAGTTCCACAGAAGAGGTACCTCATTTGGACAAAGATGTCATAACAGGAGGAGGTGATAATAGCACTACAAAGGAGATTCGTGCAGCTGGGGAAGAAGGACCAAGTATTGATATTGAGGAGCCATCAGCAGATTTGAAAAGGATAGAAACTGAAAATGAAGGAAAAGGAAGAACATTTAAACTGCCAAGTCTTGGATTTTCAGTATCACAAACCAAAGGACCAGATACTGAAATGAACTTATCCACAATAGATGCAGATGTCAAAAATCAGGATCTCAATATGGAAGCCAAACTCCCTGAAAAGAAAATAAACACATCAATTGAAATGGAAGCTAAACCTCCAGAAATTATTGTTACAAGAAGAGAAAAAGAAGGATCACCTTCCAAGTTTAAGATGCCGACACTGAAGTTACCAAGATTTGGTTCTTCTTCTCAGAGTTCTAATGAAGAGGTACCTTCTTTAGACAGAGATGTCAGAAAAGGAGAAGATGACTCTAAAACATCTGGAGAGATTCTTGAACCTGATGGAAGTGGACCAAATACTGATATTGAGGCACCATCAGCAGTTTTAAAGAGCTCAGAAGCTGAAAACCAAATTGGAGGAGGAAAATTCAAACTTCCCAGTCTTGGATTTTCTGCAACACAAACTAAAAGTATTGATACTGAAATTACCTTATCTACAACAGATGTAGATGTGACGTTACCAGATCTCAAAATAGAAGCAAAACTTCTTGATGAGAAACTAAGTAAATCATCTGAAGTGGAGGCTAAAGCTCCAGAATTTAAAGGTACAAAAAGAGAAACAGAAGGATCACCATCCAGGTTTAAGATGCCAACATTCAAGTTACCAAGATTTGGGTTATCTTCCCACAGTTCGACCCAAGAAGTCACATCTCTGGACAAGGACCTCATAACAGTTGGTGGAGAAACAACAGGAACAGAGGAGGTCACTGCATTAAACATAGAAGGACAAAACACGGAAATTAGGGATCCATCAATGAAGTCAAAAACAGAGGAAAGTGAAAGTGAAGGAAAAGGAAAAAAGTTTAAGTTGCCAAGTCTTGGTTTTTCTGTTACACAGGCCAAAGTGCCGGACATGGATTTTAGCTTGAAGACAGATATTGATGTTACGCAACAACAAGCTGAAATCAAAATGTCTGATAATGAACTGAAAATAATCTCTACAGAAAATGAAAGTAAGGAACCTAAAATTCAAGGTGAAGAAGAGGAAATTGAGGAATCAACATCCAAATTTAAGATGAAAACTTTTAAATTTCCCAAACTTGGGCTTACTACTCAGAGTTCCTCTGAAGAAGTACCTTCTATTGAGACAAATACAAAAACCGGCAGAGACGAAACTACAGCTATTAAAGAAGTAGTTACAGTTCCTGTAGAGGGATCAAGCATGGAAATTGAGGGGATGTCAGCTGATTTAAGTAATCTAGTAAGTGAACATGAGGAGAGAGGACTGAAACTCAAACTGCCAAGTTTGAGTTTTTCAGTACCGCAAGCAAAAAGGCCTGATATTGATTTGAGCTTAAAGACAGATGCAGATGTAAGACAACAAGAAGGGAAAGCTGAAGGTGATATCGCTGGTGACAAATTAAAAAAATCTTCCATTGAGGTTGAAACCAAACCACTTGAAAACAGGAAGAATACAGAGGGATCACCATCCAAATTTAAGATGCCAAATTTCAAGTTCCCAAAATTTGGGCTCGCTACTCAAAGCGCCGCTAAAGAAGCATCTCCATTTGATAAAAGTGTAGAAATCAAAGAAGGTGAGCGTACAACTTCAGAGGATGTTATTCCAGGGAGCATGACAGAACCAAGCAGAGAAAGTAAGAGTTCATCGTTAGAGCCAAAGACTGAAGGAAATGAAGGAAAAGGAAGACAGTTTAAGTTGCCAAGTCTTGGATTTTCAGTAGCAGAGGCCAAAGGAGCAGACACTGACCTAGAGTTATCAAAGAGAAAAGTAGCAGTTACATTGCCAGAAGTCAAAGCTGAGGTCAAACTTTCAGATGATGATGAGCTGAAAAAAACCTCTACTCCAATGCATACTGAAGGGCCTGAAATTAGTTTACCAAAATTTGGGATCCCTACATACAGCACAACTGATGAGGGTCCTCCATTTGACAGAGATGAAGAAGAAACTAAGACACCTGACATAAAGCTAGTGCCAAAGGACAGTGATGGATCGCCTTCCAGATTCAAAATGCCAACATTTAAGCTACCAAAACTAGGTCTTGCTACTCACAGTTCGAACAAACAAGAACCTGACTTGAACAAAACAGTAAAAGATGAAAGTACAACTTTGGAGGAGGTTCTTACAGTAACCACAGAAGGACCATGCATTGAAATAAAGGGTCCATCAACAAATTTACAGGGTTCAGAAACTGATAAAGAAAGATCAGGACGTAAGTTTGTGCTGCCGAGTCTTGGTTTTTCAGTGGAACAAGGCAAAGCGGGTAATACTGACATTAACTTATCAAACAAAGATATCAATGTTGAAATACCGAAAGCTGTCACATCCACAGAGACCAAAATCTGCCAGTCAGATGCTGATGTTAAAGAATCTACAGCAGTCCCCATACAGGAAGCATCCTCAACTGTAGAACTTGACACAAACTTAAAAAAGAGTAAATTTTCACTTCCCAAGTTTTCTTTTTCAAAGTCAAGCATTAAAAAGACTGAAGTAAAAGCTGAGCTTCCAGATCCCGGAGAAGTTAAAACTGAAACGATAACAGAAGTTAAACTCTCTGCAGACGAAGAAAAACAATACTCGACTATTGTTGAAACAACAGCTGGTGAGGCTGAAGTCAGGTCTAAAGGTTCACCTTTAAAATTCAAAATGCCAACTTTAAAAATGCCTAAATTTGGCAGTGCATCATATGAGGTAACAACAGAGACACATAGCAAAGAAAAAAAGGCTGAATACGATGGAAGTGAGCTTGAGGAGGATTCTGCTGTTATCATCAAAAGTGCAAAGATGGATGTTGAAATAGATGCCTCCAAATCAGCAAAGGCAGAACTGGAACCCCTTAAAACAGAAAGCGGTAATGTGGTTCATGGATCTTCAAGTAAATTTAAACTCCCTAGCTTCAACATACCACAGTTAAGTCTTTTAAGTTCTAAACTTGAAGATGAAACTGTCCAAACTGTGCATGAAGATAATAAAGATCAACTGCAGATGAAGATTGAGCTAAAAGAAGAAAATGTATCACCCAAACTGACTTTAAAATCAACTGGTGACTCTGACTTTGATGTTCCAAAAGTGTATAACCTCAAACAAAACACTGAAATCTCAAAGGAACCTCATGAACCAGTTGAATCAGCCACAAAGCACACAGAACAAAAGGAAGACAAGGCAAAATCAAAGCAAGATGCTACCAAAAGTCCAGAACGCACAAGCTGGTTTAGATTCCCCAAATTTGGCCTTTCATCCCCAAAGGAACAACGCAATGTTCCTGACAAAGCAGAGAAAATAGAAGATTGCAGCCCAGTAGGGGAAACAAGGGATGACGAAGGAAGTTCCCCCCTTTCTGTCCAGTCATCAGATGCTTTTGCCGATATCAGCTCTACAATCACAAGTGAGCCTGTTGGCCCATTCATACCTTCCCCAACAAAGGGCACGGTCCAACACTTCAATGATACCACAGCTGCTGGGCTTGAAGAGATCCAAGTCGAAGTCAGAAGTGAGCTGATTGCAGATGTGCCCAACATGCCTGAGAAGATCAATATCTTGTCTTCCGGTGTTTCATCTTCCTCAGATGATACAGTTAGACTAAAGTCTGGGAAAATACACATCATTACATCCAACATACAAGCTACTCCAGAATCCCAGCATGCCAAGCTAGTATCTGCTGTTTCAGTCCAACCAGCTGAAGGCCTTACCTTACAGTCAAAGTTAGATGAAGCGCAAGCTTGGATCGTCCAAGATTCTCAAAGTGCAACAAAAACAGTGTTTGAGAAACACTTAGTTCAACAAACATCTACAGAAACAAGTAAGAGCAAAGAAACCCTGGTTATAACAAAACAAATTACCCACATATTTGGCACTGCAGAGCACATCTCAGGGGACACGGCGTCTTCTATTCAACGGCTCAAAGACTCTGTGCACTCTGAGAAAATGAGGTTCTTTGATGAGGCGGAGAAGTGAAAGCCGTCATAACTTTCTCCTTGTTTTCCTCTATCTAAATGAATTGCATAAAATATTACCACCTGAAGTTAAATGCAAAAACTATCTGAAACCAGATGAGGGACCAATAAACACTAACCACATAAAGTTATCTTTTAGTATTCAGGAATCGCCATAACGGCTTAATCTCCAGCTGCATGTTTACTGATCTAGAGTATATAGAAATGTATTGCTATAGAAACTTTTACATCCTAATGGGGTCAACCTATGGCAAACTAAAACTCTTGAATTATGTGGTGTGGCTTTGCTGTGGTAGAGAAAGCTTAATGCTACAGTACAACGCGTCTTGGCAAAACTTTGTTAGCCCGTGCATTTTCATTTATTTTTTACATTAGAACTACATTATGTGGGGTATTATTTAAAATGCCAGCACAAAGTAGCACAAAAGTATACATTTCAGTATTTGATTTAACTCATTATATTATTATTATTAGTATTATAACGAATTTTCATCTTCATTGTGATCTATCTGATCTTAAAAACCCCGACCTATACAATCAAACACATGTAGTAAACAGAAAAGGTATATGATATTGTACACAAACGCCTATCAAAATTGATACAAATAAATTATCCAATTTAACTTATACAATATATATATATATATATATATATATATATATATATATATATATATATATATATATATATATATATATATATATATATATATATATATATATATATATATATATATTCTGTTCTTTCATTTTTCAGAGAGTTCAATGAAAAGTCTAAATAAAAAATAAAATTTTCTGTCAATTATTTCATGGTAAAGGCTTTAAAGAATTAAAAGTGTTTTAATTCTTTATGTGCCTTAAAGAGCAGCTTAGTTTTGCTTTGCTTTCGACTGGCTTTGCATGAACGTCTAATAAACCTTTTCTCCGATTGATGCAGAGATTAATAATTGCAAAGAAAAAAAAATATTTTCCTTTGACTTCATTGGTATGTTACCACTTTGTGTTTGTTTTTCCCCTTTAAATTTGAAGTATAATGTTAAAAAGCATAAAACTATTAGCATTATGAAGTATTTTGCAAAAACACTGTGTGTAAAATATTTCCTGCCAGTTTGTACTTTCAACTCTAAGTCACTTCTTATAATAACTTTGCTCTGTGACGATGTTGCTGATATCCACAAATATGTTCACAGTAAAGACACAGTAATGGGTATAGTATAAAATATTTACAGCAGAGAAAGCTATTTACCCGTAGAGGGCTTATCTATATTGCGACTGCAGTTGATGTGTAAAGAAACAGTAGCAGTGCTAAGCTAAAGCGAAATGTTTGTTGTAAAACTCTTTAAGTGCCCTGCTGCAATTAAACTTGTAACAACTCACTGTGCAAAACCTAATTTGCTAAGATGTACACTAAAACTGTTAAGTATATTTTCTTTAGGTAGAAGAATATTGTTACCAAGCCATGTAAATATTGTTTGTTTTTGGTCTTGTTTGTATCCTGATAGGCTAACTGAATGTATCTATAAAGTTAAACATAATAAACTATAAGTAATAGTAAAGTAAGCATAAAACCTGTCCTACGTTTGCTGATTGATATATCTGCCTGTATTTCTAAGACAATGTAATTATCTATTTTCATTTTCAAAAGATAAAAGACTTATCAAGAAAGAACTGGACATTGTAGAAATGAATCCAAGGGTGTTTTATCAAAAGGCATTTTACCCAAAACTGTAAAGACGTTGCTGATGTCTTTGCTCTAAAACTGGTTAGAACTAACAGCCTCTTGGGAGCTGACCTCAGCGAACAGGTTGGTATATATCCAGGTAAACTATGTAATCAGAAAAGGCTTAAAGGTTTTAATCTAATCATATAAACAGTTTTGGTTGTTTGGAGTGAGACATACAGTAGATGGATCAAGTGCAACACGAAGTTGACTGTAAATAAGTAATTTCTTAATTTGATGGGTCATGATACCAGGAACAATTATTAACATTTTATAATTTTGTCTTTTCAGAATCTGACTAAAGGTATTTGTCAGTTAGACAAAGTTGAAAAACTTACAATAGGTCCAGGGTTTTATAGATCTTTACATTATATATAGTCATATATATGGGCATTTTCCCCTTGGCTCTAAAGAATGTTAGTTCTTATAAAACATTGGTTGTTTTCTGGTGCTTTATTCCAGTCTGGAAGAAAGACACTTGCCTTCACTGCTCCATTGCCTCAAAAAAGATGTCTGACCGTAGTGTTTTTTTTTTGGAAATTTCTCTTGAAAGATGTAGTTTCAAAACAGTTTTGAAAGGGCACCACTGATCGTGACACAGAAAGCACAAGTTATTCCATAGAACATAATGGGCCACATTGCTGCTCTACTCAGAGGAAAGTTACTGCAAATAAATTCACACACCAGAGGGAGACAAACCTTACATTGTTTTTAAAAACGTGTATATTGGATATTGACTAGTTATATTTTATTATTATTTAATTATTTGCTCATTTAGAGTTACTCAAGTTACATTTTGACATAAATATACTTTTAGCAGTAGTTTTACTGCACCATACCTTTTATCTCCCACGAGCAATACCTGAATAACATATTGACACTCTTTCTATCCATCAAGAGTTACTTCTCTGAATAACAAACAAGCTTGTTTGTTCTCTAGACAACTTTTTGTTTGTGCTCCAGACACAAATGGAAGTTCTTTTTTGTTCTTAAGCTTACTTGAACCTAACATGACATTTCCTGGTTATGTTAAAATACACTAAGGAGTAAAAAAAGGCTTTTATGTTAAAAAAGACCTTTGGTTTGGAAATATATTTCTTCTGACTGAAATGGTAATTTTTCAATTAAAATTGTTTATTTGTTAATTTGTTATTATTTTAATATAATCTTTAAATGCTAAATTATGCAAATAACTTTCTCTCTTATTACATAACTTTAAATATTAGATGTTTTGATGAATTACCTAGTACTTAAGAAGCCCTTTTATGAAGTTTTCTTTATTTTTACTGTGATAGCTCCTTCTACTCTTACTTGAATAGAAATTAAGTAGTGTTGATGAAGTAGTTTTACTCTTTTTTAAATTATTTTATTTTTTTATATAAAAAATAAATACAATAAAATAAATAAAATAAAAATAAAATAATAATAATAAAAAAAGAAGTAGTCTTACACTTACTCAAGTACAATTTTTGGATACTCTGTCATCCTCTGGTTGGACCTCAGCTTGACCAAATTACATTTTTTTTTTTATTTTATAGTCACAGATGATTTTCTTATTGTGCAAGTTTATTTATTCATGTGGAGATGCCTTTGGACAGAAAAATAATGAAAAAACAAATCATATTCAGACTTCAAAAGCACAAATTAAGATGAGTAAATCTATACCAGAAAAAGCCAGGCAGTGGGAAATAAATTACAAGAGCTGTAAATAACTTGCTTTCACTGTTACAGAAGTAAAACTGAAATAAAAAATTGAAATAATGTTGATCGAACAAAAGGCAATGAAAACTACCGATGGAGGCAAGAAGTGCAACATATGATGTGATTGCTTAATAAGAATTAACCATCAACCAACAGGACGAAACATTCAGTACTCTCCATCTCTCTAATACAGCATAAACATAAAGGTGTTGATGACAAAACTAATTAGATGAATTCAGACAAACCAAAACACATTTTATGTAATAAAGCCAAGGAGCTGCGAATGGGCCATCCATTTTCTGTTCCAAATGTTAGTTCTCTGGCTTTTCTTTCTTTTGTTGAATAACAACAGATTTAGTCGAGATAGAAAGATTTCTTTGTACAAACAGTTCTTGTATTAAGCCTAAAGAGTCTTTCTTTTTATTATCTGATCCTAGTTTCAGGATCCTACTTTTAGTAAATCAGTTTGTTGTTTTGAAGAGAAAAACTTTTGTGACGACAGTTCTTTCTTTTTCTTTATTTGGTGGGCGGTAAACTGCAGCTAGGTTAATGCAGCGAACAAATAAATCTTTTTATGCATGGCAGGCACCTCCGGGCGCATCGCTGCCCCCCCCCTCAGGACACTGGCTTCTGCATCATTTCATGGGCATTAGGCTGCTGTGTGCTGTGTGTTATGCACTGAACAGTCTTGAACATACCTTCAGGACCGTTCAGCACCTACAATCTACACCAATGTAGCATCTCCAGACCCATTAATGCACAATCTACTGTGTGTGTATATATATATATATATATATATATATATATATATATATATATATATATATATATATATAGTAACTACTATATTGCATGTTTTATATTGTATATAGTTATACATTCTGAGTTATGTATATATATAATTTGTCTGCACCATCACACCAAGTCAAATTCCTTCTAAGTGCAAATCTACTTTGCAATAAATCTGATTCTCATATTATTAGTTCCTAAATGATTCTTATTTTTCTAAAGAGCTGAAGAGCCATCCTGTAACTGGAGTCATGGTAGAGAACCTGACCTTTCTCTCTCTCTCTCTCTCTCTCTTTGTCTGTGAGACACCATCACATGTCTCCTAAAAAGCATGCATGTGTGCATTTCTCTCAGCACACATGCACAAATTCAGAACAAAGTTATCAAATGCTGAAAGAAGTGGATACAAATAATTTTTTTTTTTTAAGTGGGATCATGAAAGCTGTGAATAATTGTGGTTATTATACTTGTCTGTCATTATTCTCTGTCCAACCTCAGGGATCTGGATCATACCAACAAGCTTTGGTAGCCCGACAAGGGAATTATTTCTATTTCTGAATGCTATGCCACTCATCTTTGTAGTAACCCAGGATGCATCTTTATTTTCTGTTATTAGAGACATCCATCTTCTCCCACTTATTCTGTCAGGATCGTGTGAACAATCTATTATGCAGCGCATAGACTCCTATGTCCAGCAGTCTATGGAGGAAAGGTACACCCTGGTCGCCAGCCTCACACCTAAAGACAATTAGTATTTTGTGGAAAAAATTCTGCTTTTCCGGCAGAAGTTCTAAAAAAAAAAAAAAAAAAAAAAAAAAATAATTAACAAAAATATTGATAAAACAAAATGATAAAGTTGTATTTAATATCTATTCATTTGGCTTTTAGAAGAGAATTTACTGTTCTCTATAAAATGACAGACTAAAATTCTCAAAGGTAATAAAGACAGCCTGATAATCATTATTCTACAGGTTAGAGTTGACCAGCAATTTCTCTTAATATCTCATTTGTGGGTTAAAAAAAGGCCATAACTGCATACATGCTGGCACCCCAAGGAAAAAGCACACTTCCCCTTCAGTGAGGTTGACAGGCTTCTCATGCTGTATTTGTCAGTGCTTATGTCAAACGTGACAGCTGAGCAGAGCAGTGAGTCTCTTCCCTCATGGACTAAGCCTCATGGACTAACCCCCTCCCGGTCAACAATGACTGAACAGCGACTCCATCACCTCCTATACACACTTAAAAAATGTATATATT